AGGGCTCTCAGCCTTCGGGCTGCGTCCCGTCTAGAGAGGAGGGATCGCGTCGCTCCAGTGCGAACAGCTCCGCAGCAGAAAGGCATCCCATCTCATCCCATCCCATCCCATTCTATCTCATTCCGTCCATCCCATCCCCGGCTGGTGGCGGGCATGACGAGGAGAGGACCAAAGAAAAGGGCTGGCCTTGGCTCAAGTTTGGTATTCAAGTTCGGTGAGAAACTAGAGCAAGAATGCAGTGTTTGTCTTCGTCTGCCAAGTGTCAGGGGAAAAAGAACTCGATCTCCAACTTTAAAACTAAACATCTCCTCCCTCCCTCCCTCCCTGCCTTCCAGAGAAGTGATGCTGGGCTCAAAACTGGGGGGAAGCTGGTTGCAAAACTCCAGGAGCCGGTACGGGCAAGGACCCGAGTCCGACTGTGCGGCTTCAGCAAAGTTTGGAGAAATACCGGAGTGCGGTCCCGTCCAGGCGCTTTGTCACACAGCAGTGCCCTGGGAAATAAAGCCAAGAACGCAGAAGCTGTTAAAATTGGATGGCAGCAAATGAATGCGGCGGGTCCATGTCGGCAGAGCAGGCAGCTTGGCTGCCTTTGCCTGTTTTAGCGGACGAGCTCTGATTTTTAATAATAGATTTGCTAGAGAAGGGAGATGCTTGTAACTAAACTGTGTGTTAGGCTGACTTTAGGGTTTTGGGTTTTTTGGTGGCGCTTGCTTTTTCTTCTTTGGAGGATGGGAGTGGCCGTCAAGACATAACAATATAACTAGTAGTATTTTTCCTTCAACGTGATTATTATTATTATTTAGTTGTTGTTTTAGTTGAATCGGATGTAACTTGAGTACTCAGAGCTGCAGGACGGATGCTAATTATTTGTAACCCATATGAAGGCACATTGCTGGGTTATGAAACTGTGGCTCTGCAGATGGAGTTGCCGGGCTGAACAGCCCGGTGAAGCGTTCAGTCTTGTAGGAATGATGAGCGCAGGATGTGACACAGCGAGGCAAAACCCTGCTGGGGGATAAACAGGGAATGACCTTTACCAGATGCAACCCCTAATACAGGCTGGCTTAGACCTTGTAAGCTAAGGCTGCGTATTCCTTCCAAGCCGTTCAGCACGCTTAGGGGGTAATATGTAAAAATTAGCCTGAATTAAGACTTTATTTCTGAAGTGGTAGTCACCTTTTAGTAAGTCAGTGCTGTTTCAGTGAAGATTGATCCTTTTGGTATAGATTGTACCATTTCGGCACTTCTTTCTTTAAAAACCAAATCTTTTCCCAGATTTAGCCATCATCTCTCCAGCAGAATAATATGCTGATGTATAGTAACTATCTGTTCAGCTTGGGCAAAACACTCATCCTGCATTACAGATCAAACTTAAAATTTTGGTTTCAATACAGTTAATTTTTTGTACCACTGACTTTCCCCTCGGTTTCAAAGCTGCGTTGTGCTCTGTGGAACGTTGCTGGCATTTACTGACGTTGGAGACAATTAAAGCTTTCACGCTACGGTTTCCTGATTTCCATCTCTAATATAATGCCTTGTGATTTTTACTGCCAATTCATGAGACCAATATTGTTTTCTCAGTCTTTTCTCCTGAACATTTGCAGAATTTGGGCTGTGCTTGAGTCGGAGAGTAATACATGCCTCCAGTAGGTTGTACAGAAAATGCATAGGCTGCATATAGACCTTGTATAGGAGAACTCCACTGTAGTAGATACATCATGTGTACGCCCAGACAATCATTTTGCCTTGTTGCACCTCTGGTTGGAGCGATGCTTATATTCTGTATCACTAGGGACAAAAGGAAGGTGCTAGAGAACTCAACCAGTAGCACATGTTTATCCCTAGACCAGAGCAAACATTGCTGCAAGCAAAGCTTTTTTCACATGTAGATAACCTAAAATAAAAAGAAATGGAGATGAGGTTGTAAAGTGCTGTTCCCTGGAGACAGGCTGAACTGTTTTGAAAAGCTATTGCCTAATGTGTGGCTCCCTAGAGTTGTTAATTTTTAATTGTGTTTTGAGTTCATTTTTGGGAGTGCTTTTGCTACCCAGAGATGGAGTTATCTTTGTTAAAATAGTTTTATGCTTTCATAGTAACACATCTACATAAATAATTTGATGAATACAGTGCAATGGCCCAGGGAACCGAGGGAATGGGGATGTAGAGAAAGTGTTTGGAAAGCACTTTTGTTTGTTCTTTTTAAGTTTCACATCACTTTAGTAGCTGGTCAAGTACAATATTGTGTGTATTGTGTAAGATTAAGTAAAACTTTTTGTCTTTTTCAATTTTCATCTGCTACAGTCCACTCCCAGTGCTGCTTTTGTCCTTCAGCGCATCTGTTCAAATACCGGGATTGTTTTTGAGAGGATGCGGGAGAGGCAGGGCAAGGTTGCCGTGGCTCTGTGTACATGAGGGGGGATGTTTTCCTATGCAAAAAGGGAATCTCGAGTCTTAAAACTCAAGAAAAATTTCACAAGCCTCGGAGCTTACTCTAGCCTCAGCCCTAAACGATGCTGAGAGGACGGGTGGTGGCACCGAGGTGCTGAGCAGGTCTCCTGCACCCTGGCGATGAGCTTTGGGGTGCAGGATCAGCCCGCAGGTTGCTCTGCGAGCTGGACGTGCAGAAAGGGAAAAACGGGTTCGTATCTGGAGAAACTCCAGGAGCAGCGAGGGGAGAAGGGAAGAGCCCGGCTATGGCTTTTATCCAGAAAACGCGTCGGTGAAACTAGAACGGTGAGTGCACGGGATGGGAGCAGGGCTGAAGCGTGCCCTCCCTGGGCTCGCCTCTGTCGAAGTCAGGCGAGGCAGGTGACAGCAGAGTGACGCACGCTGCGGTGGGCGATCGACCCCTTTCATTAGCGCTGTGTCCCTCTCTGGACGGGTTTGCCCTTTCCAGCTCTCCCCTCCTGCGGTGTGGCCGCGGGCAGCATAACCGGCGATACCCATCCTGCTGGCGCTGAGCACGTCTCCCCTCTGCCCCCGGCAGATGATGTAGTCCTGCTTTTCATTATCAAAACCGCTGGCAGATGAGCGCTTGCAGGACCAATAAGTCGCTTCTGCATCAGCCTGGGCAGGCCTGCTGAGCTGCAGCTTTCACAAAAGAAATCTTCTTTTCCCGTGAAGGACATGAGAGATGTTGGTACGGGGCGTTCAGGCCTGCAGAGCACGTGCTGATGCAGCGTGGCGTGGGTTGGTACTGATGAAAATGGAGAGGTGCAGAAAGAAGATGAACATCCTCTGAGCAGAAACCGTGACTGTGTAAAGACCATCCCACAGCCACGAGTGAGGTCAGTGCAACGAGACCTCAGTATTCTGTGTGATGAGGTTCAACGTGCTGGGAGAATGTTTTCTTTTTCTTCTGCAAATATGTTTTTGGTGCTCTTAAATCCCTCCTGCTGACCAAGGGGAAGAAGTCTCGGGATGTTCAACACACCACTTAAACCAGTCTTCCTTCCCCTCCTCGCTTCCCCAGCAAATGCTGGCAGGCGTTTTAGGACAGTGTGCCCTTCTCTCCATGTGATGCTCTTCACGCTGTAAAATACAAACTGACCTGGATTTGTCCTTTCACCTTTAACCAGAGTCAGAAGAAAGTGGTTCCTCGTGGTTGCTCTCAGTTCCTAACTTTCCTCTGCCCCTTTTTGAACTGGATTTTTATTTTTTTCATATTTTTATTAGGCTTACTATGCCTGATGTGGTGTCCCCGTAACCTCAGCAGTCCTCAGCACGCTAACATCTGTCACAGGCATGCTCGCGCCATCATGTCATATCTGGAGTTTGATGTGAGCTCTTCTGATTTAGATTAAGCAGGACATTACTGCTTGCTTTGGAGGGAAGGCAGAGGTGACTTTAGAGGTAACTCCTCGTTCTAAAAAGGTGTGTATCACTAACAGATACCGGCTTTGCTATTTCTCTTCATCACGTTATCATTTCATAGTTCTGGAGACACGGGCAGAGGGGGGAGGTAAAAAAATCCATCCCTCAAACTCAGTTTCTTGCAAAGTGGTTGACTTTGTATTTTGAAATGCACCAGGCGAAATTGCATCCAAGTGACTCTGTGTAATTATCTGGCAGAAGAAAGGGACCTCCGCAGTCAATAAACCATTTGTCATTAATGAGTCCTTCAAAAACAGCGTAAGAGTGAGATCCATGCGGGAGAGGATGGGAAAGAGCAGTAGCTGGACCTGCCTGATTCAGGTACGGATAGGGCTAACGAGCTGGCAGCGCTCAGCCTTGCAGGAATGAATAATTAGGGCAGGAAGAGAAACTCAGCTGAGAAATCTAGGAGGGTCAGGAACTAAGCCAGATACTTATCAAGAGGAAAGTTGATATTGTTGTTATGAACTAGGCTTTCAGCTGTTTCCCAGAAGATAATGACAGGCACATGATGGTCAGTGTGCTGAAGAAACATTGGGAGACCTTCGCAGGTTACTTGGCACATGTCAGGTCTGTTAAAAATGACCTGGGAGGACCAGGTGTTAAGGAACTGGATGCACAAGTGAGCACTCCAGTGCTCTTAAATTTTTTTAGCCGCCTTTGTCTCCATCAGTCGCTGTGTTTGGGTGGTCTGAAAGTCATGATCTTCTGATTTTCCTCAGTCTCTTTTGCAGCAGCAGGAGAAGGGGAGGGAGGAAAGAGGCAGCTGAAGGCAGTGGAAATAAATAGCAACATATTTCCAGAAGAGAACCAATTCCCAAGTGTGGGATTAAAAAGCTTTTCCCAAGCCAAGTATTCAGCTCTGAAAGGAGGGAGCTGTAAGAAGTGGTTTGTCTGAAGATGCTCACCTTTTCCTCTCTCCACATCTAGATTTCCTTCCCGGGGAGCCGGCAGTAATTCTGTAGTCTCTAGACTTCAAACAGTCAAGTCAGTAAATACAGATTTGGAACAAGGAAAGATTCAATCCTTTCATCTTCTGGGCTTTGAAATGTAAAGGTACCTGTGGACTGGACAGGAATGCTTAAAGCTATGAGTAAGCAGCAGGAGTCTTGCTAAGGAGAATTTGGATGTGATGGAGGCAGCTTATCCCGAGCAGTTAAAGGAAAGACTGCCGTCCAAGAAATACGAGAAGCTGGAAAATACTCTTCAAATGTGAATTGACGTGTGCTTGGAGTGGAAGAAAGCAACGTTAGAAATAGAAACTGGGGTACTGTGGAACTTAACTTTTGTTGTAAATAAAGTCAGTCCTCACTCCCGTAAACTGCTGGGGCCTCTAGGATC